AGTAAACATATGAATACTTTATACATAGCATTAAATCGGAAAATATGAGTAATCTTGAACCATTCGCACAATGTTATAAATCTACTACGATAAGCTATTACTAGATATAATCTGTAATAAAACGACAAAGGAGTAACAATTATCGTCATTTCATTCATAGAAATTCTTGTTTAATGACTCTCTAGTGATTTGAGCAATATGTGTGATGAACTGAAGCATGCAGACAAACAACATTGGAAGATAATCTAAATATGCAGACATGTTGTGTATGTTTTTCGACTGTTTATTACAGCTTTCGAGTTGAACCGAAGCTGTATGGTTATCGTTAATTTTGTATTGTTTTTTGTATATTATATAACGTTTTGGGCATTGTCAGACATTCCGGACCGCGGAATTAACTTTTAAATATTTTTAGACATCAGACTCCAACCGGAAATGTTGTAGAGGAAAACTCCTTAATTTCATTAATCCGCCATTAAATGCTTATCTTTTGTTCGATTTGCATTCGTATTTGTATTTTTGAAAGAACTTCCAATTGAAAGAACTTCCAAGCAGACTGCAGTTTCAGATAATCCTGAACTTCTTCATTTTTGTCCTTTTTTCTATTTGTACGAAATTTGGAAGATGGGTAGAGACCAAATTATCAATTACGATTATACAAAAAATTTCGGAAAATGGTCGGAAAAGGCCGAAAATCGGACTATGTCTTACAGCAACTTGTAAATTAGTAATTCAAAAAAATTTGTACCAGCAATATCAGTTTGTACCTTTGCCGTAAATGCAAATTCCTATCTTAAATTCACAGCTTTAAAACAATATATATATCGATATGTATAAATAAACATTTTTTTAGAATAAAATTATAGAGTGAAAACGATTGTAACAGATCATAAAGTCAAATGGTGTTAATTTCACATCTTTTTAGGTCAGAGAAGATAACCCAAACTTCACTGTTTGAAATGGTCTATTAAAAAATAGTTTTTTCAGTCGGAAACGTTTTCAAACATTGACAGTCTATTTCCATTTATATTTTACGAAATATAATGCAGAGAATGTAAACCAGTTCGAAAGCTGACAGATCAGTGCCAAACAGGTCTAGTTGTTTTTTTTTATACGACCATGTGAAATGTAAAGTGTATATTGTCGTCACCCATATCTGTCCACAATAGACCTTTATCTGAATTATTGCCCTTTTCTGAACAGAATTTAACGAAACGTATTATGAGACTTTGGAAACCAGAAAAATATTTAATGAGTTATTGCTCTTGTTCTTGAAAACCCGTTCAATTATTAGCTCGTAGACACTCTAGAAGGAATAATTCTTGGTGAGTTTATACGAAACTTAATGTGATCATTAGTATCCACCCAAGGATGAACCCTATTGAAAATCTTTAATATTAGTTATTCCCTTTGTTTCTGAAAACGTGTTCAATCATTAGCTCATAAATACTCAATAAGGCACAATTCTTGTTGTAATTTTTACAAAACTTGTTGAAAAAGTTTAATAATAATAATAATAATAATAATAGTTTATTTTTTATAGACAGTAACATAAAATATCTCTACAGTCTTTATACTGATTAAGTTAACAATAAAAAAAGATATAAATTATATAAAATATTATGGTATCTAGTTATAATTGCTTCTAATTAAAATAATTTGCAAAAATTCATGTTTTCAATTGCTCTTTAAAAAAAGTCGTATGGGCTCCACGGTGTAGGTGCATTTACCTCAAAAGCTCTGTCTCCATACCGTTTGCTGGTTTTCTTTCCATGAGCTTTGAAGGAGAAATGTGAATTGTAATCAACTCAGAAAAGTAGCTTGGGGCCGACTCGACATGACGGATTAATTATACGCCCACATGGAATGGGGGGCGTATATTTCCGTCACCTCTTTCCGTCGGTCCGTCCGTCCGCCCACAATTACTCGTAAACATTCTACAAGGCACAATTCTTGACTGATTTCGACGAAACTTGGTATGGTTGTTTGTTATCACCCAAGGATGAACCCTATTGAAAATCAGACGAATCGAAAACTATTTACTATGAGTTATTGCCCTTGTTCTTGAAACGCTCATAAACACTCTAGAAGGTGCAATTCATGACGGATTTTGATGAAACTTGGTATGAGTGCTCTTTATCGCCCAAGGATAAACCCTAACGAAAATCAGAAAAATTGAAATATATTTAGTATGAGTTATTGCCCTTGTTCTTGGAAACGCGTTCAATTTTAGCTTGAAAACACTCTAGAAGGCACAATTCTCGACGGATTTTGACGAAACCTGGCATGAGTGATGGTTATCACCCATGGATAAACCGTATTGAAAAGCAAAAAAATTGAAAAATATTTAGTATGAGTTATTGCCCTTGTTCTTGAAAACGCGTTCAAATATTAGCTTGTAAACACTCTCGAAGGGAAAATTCTTGACGGATTTTAACGAAATTTGGCTTGAGTGTTGGTTATCACCCAAGGATGAAATTGAAAATCAGAAGAATCTAAAAATATTGAGTTTGAGTTATTGCCCTTATTCTTGAAAACGCGTTCAATTTTTAGCTTGTAAACACTCTAGAAGGCACAATTCTTGCCGGATTTTAACGAAATTTAGCTTGAGTGTTTGTTACCACCCATGGATAAAGCCTATTGAAAATGAGAAAAATCGAAAAAATATTTAGTCTGAATTATTGCCCTTGATCTTGAAAACTCATTCAATTTGTAGCTCATAAAAACTCTAGAAGGCATGATTCTTGCCGAATTTTGACAAAAATTGGTTTTATTATTCATTACCGCGCTGAAGATTGAATATTTGTTTCTAGAGTTTTCACGAGCTAAAGATTGAACACGTTTCCAAGAACTAGGGATATAACTCAAACTCAATATTATTCAGTATCGCCCTAAAGAGTTCAAAAGAAGTGTATGACTGAAGGTTGAATATTTCATACTGGTGATTGTTACTGTACTGCTAAATATTTATGTTCAAATTCAAAGCTGCCAGTGGGCGTATATTACCTTGCCTGGCAAGCTATCTTTATATTATTAATTTACGATAATTTTTGTACAGAATCCGCTGTTCCACTGGGAGCCAATGCAGCTCACGTAGGAGTGGCGTCTCGTTGTCGTGACGATGCAACTTCCATCCCTGACTAGTCGAGCAGCTGAATTCTGAATATACTGTAGTTTCTTAAGTTTATAGTTGGGTAGGCCGAAAAGGATACTGTTACAGTAATCTAATTTGGATTAAATTATCACCAATGGATGATCTAAAAATATTTGATATCAATTCTTTAAATTTTTTCTGTAATTTTGAGCTTTTAACAGTCTAGAAGAGACCATTCAGTTTGAATACATATCTTATGGGTGGTTTGTTTTCATTGAATTTGTTTCTAAACATGTTTAGTCCTGAACGACCAGCTTCTAATATGAAAAATTACCAGTATAACGTGACAGTATTGCCATAGCTCTGTTAAAAATGTCTGTCGTTCATGAGCGTGATATGTTGCAGAGCACTATCATAACTTCTTTACAGGCCGTTTGGTATCTCCCCTAAAAGTTCAAAAGAAGTGTATGACTGAAGGTTGACTATTTTATACTGGTGATTGTTACTGTACTGCCAAATAGTTCATTTGAAATCATAGCTGCCAGTTGGCGTATATTATCGTGCCTGTCAAGCTATCTTATTATATGATAAATGTATTCCTTGGCAAATGCAAATGGAGCTAAATGTCCACATTCCTGTATCTGATTTGTGCGACACAATACAATGTGCTTTCCAGTCTGTAAATGGATCTATTATGTGTACTACAGTCCTCGGGCTACTGTCCTTTTCGAACGATAGACGCTTTCCTCATGCATGTCCTTCAATCTGCATCACTTACACTAGAAGACCGGATTAGAAAAACAAAAGGTATCGACTAATGTTAAGATAGAATCTTTGGGTTATTGAGCGGGCCTCTTAGATTCTGTTTGTAATACAAAAAAGGCAAATTTATATACATAATGTTACTGCTCAAACGTGAAATTTGACATTATATTAATACAGGATTGCATATGAAACACCTTGCTTTAAGTAGTAGATAGGCGTGCACAAAATGTAGAAAAGTGGCTTTTTTGTGGCATTCTCGTTCATTCATGGCACGGTATTTGCACCATTAGTCAGTGATTAATAAAAAATGATTTGTGTTTAATATTATTTAATTACCCCCACTAAAGTACGAAGAAAAACGAATTCCAAACCCCCTACAGCCATCCAAACAAAAAAAAAGTACCTAGCCAAATTAATCATCAACCTTAGCTCAAATCTCTTTTACCAGTCTTTGTCAAAGGCCTCAAATATATTCCCACCAACTGCCATAATTCAAAATATGACGATATCAAATTCAAATAATGGTAAAGCTTATGATTATTGACAGAATAATGACCTCAGGAGGACATAATGATAAATAGATTGGAATTTCAGAAATTCCCTGAAAAATTAGTTTGAGATCTTTCGACTTACACTACTGAGTGAGATAGCTTTTTGTTTCAGTGTTAGTGATGACTTTAAGTCCACTTCCAGCAGAAGCTTAAATGGTAGACCACTATTTGTTTCAGTCATGATCAAGACTTATAAGTACCACATTTTAGCGTGAAGTTAAAAAAGACCATAGATACCATAATAATAAAACAATAACAATAAATTTATGATATGTAAAATATTTGAAATATGTTCGTAGTTTAATTCCAAAGGGGGGACTTAAAGCTCATATATATTTGAAAAGTCTAGCTTTGTCTAGCTTTGTCTAAAAAATTATTCAAAAAGTTTTTATTTTAAATTTAGTATCTTCATCCTCTGGAATTTGTTATCAACCTAGTAGAACTAAACCAATAAATGAGTCCCATCAGTTAATCAATAATCAAAGTGATATCTTACTGACAAAATCAAAAACCGAGAAAAGTATCAGTCAATTTACACCAGGCAAATTGTAAGACACTGAATATAGTTTCATTACAACTGCAGAGACGTGATGTTATACTGGTGGACGTGGTATCTGTATTATTTATTATTTGATATATGCAGTAAGTCTGATTTTATTTACTATTTTGTCATATTTTCTTGATGGCTATATTGGTCAATCAGCACTGCTATGATATGATAGTTTGAAATGTAAGAAGGTTATGAGCTGAAATCCATAATATGTTATTCAAGTTTAATAATATCAAATAAATATTGATATAAATTTAATAGTGAAAGTGTGCATTTGATTGGGCCAATGGAGACAGGTGACGCCATGCTGTTTGCAATGAGGTAAATTTGCGCCAGGTCAGTGGCAATAGCCTACATTTTTTTTCATAGCCTCTATTTAGCACAATGGCTCGGTTAATTGAAGACAAGAGGCGTTTTCCATATCAGCCCTTTCGTCATCTGCATCACTGACAGGGGTCACAAAAAATACGATATTATTTCGACCTATGCAATAGACCCTCATGAATGCGACAGAGTCATCCACTCAATTTTACATGCATAGAGTATTCCCCATTGACATTTTGTGAATTCTCGTCAAATAAAGTAAATTAATTCAAGCTTGCATAACATGGCATCAAGGTTATCGACTATGTTCGTTCACCAGGTCCTCAACTCTATTGGCATCAAAATCAAGAGATAGCTTTCCAAACAAGGTAACATATTCCGACTGGCAGCTGTCAGAACTGATAATATAGTCCCTATTGACTAGGAATTAATAATACAAATTTTCTCACAATTAATATCTTCATTATGCATTTGTACTTTGAATGTATTAATCAACTCATCAATGCACAAAATCGTTTTAAAGTAATAGCAATATCCAAAATAATCAAATTATCAAAGTCGCACTGGTCACGCATCTTGAATTTTTAGAAATGTTTTATAAGTCAAAACAGAACCTAAAAAAACAAATGATCCTCAAATTCAATCATGAACAATCTCTCAACAACATACACATTTATTTAAATTTACCAACATATTCACAAAGACATATAACTGTAGTCTCAGTGATCTTTGAATATGTCAAGGACAATATAATTAAAACAAAATATTGTCAATTTCAAACTTGACTGAGATATCATCAATATATGTAGACATACCAAGTTTCATCAAAATTGAATTATTGTTGCCTTCTATCATTTTACATATCAAAATTGTCAAGGGCAATTACTTACAAATCCAAATGTTGTCATTAACAATCTTGACCAAGATCTCATTAATATACATTTGCACGCCAGGTTTCATCAAGTTCAGATACAAACCGAGTTTCTGTCGTGATAAAAAACCTAAATAACTTCAAATCCGTTGACCTCATATTAACCATATTGGAAGTTGACTGAGATTTCATCAATATATACATGCATAGCAAGTTTCATCAAGACTGCATAAAAATGAAGCCTCTGTAGTTTTTAGAAAAAATGTGAAAGGGCAGGTCGAGTGACGGCAAAATACGTCCACATATCCGAATTGCGAATAAGACCTGTTCCACGATGAACAATAATTGTAATTAGTTAGATTTTAACTCTTAACTTATTTTTGTTCTACCCTAGGCTTGTACATTTAGCAGAATCAAATCCCCCCTTCCCCGAAATTTAACATTTCAGGTGGCGCATTATGGAATTTAGCACTCAACAAACCAGCTTCTCAAAGTAGTATATACGAGAATTGTGTTGCCTCAAGATCGGTAGATGGAATAGATGGATTAGATCGATATGGGTTAAGTTGTAGCCATACTATTGGTTTTAATGGACATGAATCAAAACCGTGGTGGGAGGTGGATCTACAGCAGGAATATTACATTAAAGGAATTGCCATCTCACATCCAGACTTCCGTAAGAAAACTCTTACTTTCCAATAACTATCTGTTACTTCTGTGTTTTTCTCGGCAAATTATCACTTATATTGTTTGTTTCATTTTTGATTAAATTTGATGCAATTTGTAAAGCAGTGCAGGTGGAAGAATCTTGTTTCGGAATTTACATGTCTTGTATTGTCCTTTAGTGCTATCAACTACCTATATTCCAAATAAATTTGTTTTCCATCATCGCAGGCTTATTCAATATCAATTTTTTTACCTTTTTTTTAATGATTTGACAATTATCCATATGTGTCCTTTGATTATGAATAAGGTCGTTGAGGCGGTTTCCGTTCTTTCAGAAAAAAACATATTTCTCATAGAAATAAGAGAGAACGCTTTGAATAACTAATGGTTAAATCAATGACCTCGATTGCTAGCGAGGTGCGAGCGGGCGAGATGCGGTGTATGATGCAGGATTATTAACTCATGTTTTCAATATTTATCTTTATAATATATTTTTAATATTTTTGTTACCTTGCTAAAAATTTAACGCGTGTCGAAGAAAAATGGTAACATCTCCGTTAAAACATTTTTCGATTTTATTAATTTTTGGTAAGCTTGATGCTTGGTTGATAATGATAAAATTCACCAGGTCTCGTCAAAATCCTCTTCTGGAACTAAAAATGGAACTTGTATTCAAGAACAAGGACATTAAGTCAGATTTAATATTTTTCTGTTTTTCGATAGGATTTATGCATGGTTAATAACTATTTCACCAAATTTCTGTGAAAAAACGTCAAGAAATGTGCCTAGAATGTTCACGAGAAAAGTGTGGAAGGACGGGCAGACAAGGGTGACACAATTAAAAATTTACTCTTGTTCTTTGAAACGTTATATTTTTTATCTCGTAAATGAAGATGAATTATTGAAGGATTTTAATGAAACTATGGTATATCTGTTCATAAAGATACGGAAGAACCGTATCGAGGATTTTTATTTTAGGCTACTGTCCTTGTTCTTTTAAAATCGTTTGTTTCTTGCCTGTAAACACTCTTGGAGAAAGAATTCGTGACGTATTCGGTCAGAAGAAAATACTAATCATCACTTAAAGGACAGTATGAACAATTTTTATCGGAAAAAAAATTGTAGTTTTACAAGAAAACATTTCTAAAATATGCTATGTACTTCATTGTTTACACTGCATTAGTTTTTAAAGGGGTGATTAAAAAACGGAGCATACTCATTCTTTAATGTGCAGTTTGAGCTGGTTTTGGCTCAATATTTTTAGTTGAAACCTTCAGATAGAACAAGAGACATATTTTTGTACAATTTGGCGTTAAAATTCGTACAACAAATTTTTCCAACAACAACCTAAAAACATATCGAAATTGAAACGTTCACGGAGACCATATTATAACAAGTTATGGCCGCTAAATTAGTATGAGACAAATTTCTTCAGATTTTGGTGTGTATTTTCCATACAAACGACAAATTCTAAAGAAAATATCTATCGAAGCCTAAAACTCTAAAAAAGCGTATTTCAACTGTTGATTAATTTATAATGTTGATGGTTTCCGTTCTGCCAAATGTTTTCATTGAAAACACAGCTGTCAGAGGCAGTTTATTACCGTAGCTTTTATCTTTTTATCTTTATCATTGTAGCACAACAAAATCCGCGATTGCTTCACAAATTTTCAATTGAGATTTATGGAAATGGCGAAACTTTAGATAAAGCTGTTCTTTGTTACTATCAGGAGCACCATGCTACACCAGCTACTACAGAAATGTTTACATGTACGGAAGCCATCAATGGTCGTTATGTTAGAATTACAGTGAATGGAAAACCAGGGGAAAAAAAGATGATATATGTGTGTGAGGTATCTGAAATTCGAATTGTAAATAAGTTGAATAAAACAGATGTATTGATCCGAAGGTGCAAGGCTCCACCTGTCCATAGACTAGTCTATAGAGACAAGGCCTTGGTATATTCCCAGACCTTAATTACTGACCAGCAATAAACTGGATATGCAAGCATTCGCCTAAAGCACTGAGCCATCGTTCAAAAGAAAGTTTTCACCGACTTTACTTCCCCAAATAACAAAAAACGAAGGGCTATGGGAGATTTATTATGATGTATTTATAAATATAAATAATTTTCCGGCCTATAACGTCAGCAGTGATTGTGTTCCATAACGTCAGTAGAGTCTATTCAAGTTCCTGTCGGTTACATTCACATTCTCAGCTGACATCAAGGTGATCAAGGGCGTTCATGTCTGGAGAACATGGTGGCCAGGGCAATACCTTGGCGTTATTGTAGTTCAGGTAGTCTGGAACAATTCGGGCGTAGTGGGGCCATGAATTGTCGTGTTGAAGAGTCAATTCTCTTGGCTGATGTTGAAAATAAGGTACCACAACAGTTCTCAACACTCCATCCCTGTATCGCTGAGCATTCAGGTTTCCTCGGATGATAACCGGTCGTGTTGTGATCTGGGCACAAATGCCACCCCATACCATGACCCCTCCATACGGGTGACTTCTCTAATGTAGTTTGGCGCTAATCGCTTCCCCCTTCGACGAAAAAAACTAAGTCTGAACCGACTTTCATCTGTGAAACACTCTCGCCCAGTCACGTTGCTGTCACCGACGTACAGTTCGTGTCTATTGCAGTTTGGGTTGATGGTGTAGACGGGTCAGGGGCATTCCACGGAAAGATCGGTAAACCAGCTGTACGAAACCGTCGAAGGACTGCTCGTCTACCTAGTGCTATTGCCGTCGTCATCACCCATCAGTTTCGTAGACGAATATGCCGGATGTAGCGATCCTCAGCCGGTGTCACTCTTGGTCTTCCCAATCTTTGCCAGTCTGTCCTGTCTGTTGGTAATGGATTATCAATTTGCTGATGATGGTCTGGGAGCAGTTGGATGTTCTTGCTATGTATCTGACGTTGAGTAGCCCCCATATTGGCCTTACCGATCGCTTCGACTCGATGTACTTGTGTAAGTCTAGACATATTCTTGGTGTTTGTTTGCTTACTGAATGTTTGCCTCTCCAACGTCGGTATTTTTACCACAATCATGCACGTGCATTTGGACCAATGTCTCAAACAATTTTAACAATGCAGGATGTTGAATGCTGCGTTCGAAAATCTGCGCTGTGTTTGAGGTCATGTTACATTTGGGTGAATGTTTTCTGCAAGGGTTCAAACCGGTACCAGTTTCTTTTAATTTTAAAGTGAAAACTTTCTTTTGCCCGGTAGTTTAAATGCAATATATTTGACTCCCATATTGTTACTGATTTTAATCGTTATAACTTTGTGCCAAATAAACACTATTTGTTGGTCGACTCCGCAAATGAATCACCTGCGTGACAAGCACAGACGCAGAATGGCATAAATTAGTATTTTATTGGCGACAAATGCCACAATAATTGATTTCACTTTAACAACGTAAACCTTCCGACGTATATTTTGAAAAACCTGCTCATCTGTTTTGAGTTTACTTCACACAAGTAAAGATTTTAAGTTATTATTTCATTTTAGGTGCGAGTGTTTGGCAGCCCTGAGTTTTTATCATACTTTGTCAGGTTGGAAGGTACTGAAGTTGGTGGGTTACCAATTGCTACACAACAAGTTGAAAACCACAGTCAATGTGCTATGAAGTGCTATGTATTACCTAACTGTATTATTTTCAGTGTTCAATCGATGCCAACATATTATCAATGTGAAATTTATTCAACTAATTTCCTTGTTGCTAATTCTACCGGAAACGCGAATACTGTTGTGTTTCTCAAGTGAAAAAGGACAATAAAAGACTCAAACGAACTAAAACGGTTGATCATCTATCTGGACACACCCCGGTAATTTCGAATAGTCATCTTGAATGGAAGTAAAAATAACATTTATTATGAAGTAACACATTAACAAATCAAACACTCACGATCCAAACCGCAAAAGAACCATGTAATTTAAAGGGACAGATGCGCCATCTTTTTCAGTAGTCTCAGATATTTTTTGTGACAGTGTGCACAGCTCACCGTCGAAATATGAGTCTTCAAATTCAGGTGTGTCCAGAATTATTCATGTTGGAATGTTAAAGTGAAGAGTCATCATTTTAAGATAATCTTTGATATATAGAAAAGAAATATATGGAAATAGTGAGTAAAATTCCTAGTTTGAGATATTTGTGAAGTAATTATGCGGTTTTGTTTTTCACATTTCTAGTACTTCTGCGACTAATTACATATTTTCAAGACTAAAATCAACCCATATATATATATATATATATTGTGTATAATTTTAAATTATATAACAAGTTCTGTTTTCTGTGTATATATATATAAATTATATCATATTTATTTTTTTTATAATGTTGAATTGAATCTTTAAGAACTAAGTATATAATTGTATGCTATTGTGTATATTTTATTGTATAATATTGTTCCTGAACCCATTGTATTGTATTACATTATGAGGTTTACCAGTACTTGGAGTGTTCTGTTTAATGATGTGAATTTAGTGCTCTGGTAATTTCTTTGAAATGTTGCATATTATAAACTTAAGAGAATATCAGGTCTTGCGCCATAGCAATTTATCTCATTTCTTGCACAAAATGTGACGAACAATACGTTGGGGAGACAAAAAATTCGTTAAGGGTCCGTTTCAACCATCATAAGTCTGACATCAACTTAAAACAAATTAATAAAACCGTTTCAAAACACTTCAATCAACCCGATCACCAATTAACCTGAAAATTATTCCCATTGAACAGATATACGAACAACCTGGCATTGATACAAAGAAAATTCGACTCATTCGCGAAAATTATTGGATAAACAAATTACAAACCATGCATCCTTTAGGAATGAACATCCAAGTTGATTTCCAAATTATACCTTTTGTTATTCAATACAACAACACAGCTGGTCAAGTTCCCCGAATAATTATCCGTCTTTACAAAGAATTGCAGGAAAAATTTCCAACAGTCTTTACATTGATTTAGTTATCGCCTATACCCGTAATAAAAATCTAAATGATATCTTAGTCCGTGGTAGATTACCCCCCATCCCCTTTCATAGGTTTAGTACATTTCCTTTAATTAATATTTCTTATTTATGATAACTTGCAATTGAAGAGTTTCCTCGCAAAAATATCATACATGTATACTATTTTCACTTAATAAATTATATATATTTTTTATATGAAATACGCATTTTCCTTTTCATTTAATATAGGACAATTCCTCAGTTTCACCAGTGAAAATGTTTATCATGATTTCCATGGTTATTAATGTTCCTGTTGGAACCAGTATTCTTCTATATATAAATTTCAGATTCGGAAGATAATGGATTTGCATTTCAAATATTCTATATCACTCTTTTAAACTAAATTCACAAACATTGCTCTATCAATAGAGGTTACGCCTACATGCCTGTGCCTGTGCTTAACCGCAATATTACTACCTTAAATTCCTAAAACCGTTTAATCATAACCAATTTCAAACTGGACTGAGATCTCATCAATATACATGCAAACCAAGTTTCATCAAGATCAGATAAAATCTGCAGTCTCAATTATGCCCGCAAGCCGAATTTGATGGTTTTTACTAAGTCAAGGGCAATAACTCTGAAACCTTCATCTGATTCGAACTGGACGAGTAATTATTTAAACGAAGTTTCAACAAGATCGATAAAAACTAGCCTCTATCGGACCTACAAGAAATGTGAACGGACGGACTGACGGGGGCGACAGCAATATACTCCATATTTCCATGTGGGCGTATAAAAATGACAAGGCGAACAGGACCAAGAACCCGACCTGATAATTGGATCTTCAACAAGAAATTGTATTAGGTTAACAGACATCTAAAGAACATTGTTCTCATGTCCAAATATCGTGGGTGACCGCTTGAAACCTCGTATATGCCATATAATTGGTCATTTTGACTTTTGGTACCGATCTTGTTAGCGGTTTATATTTTCCAAGAATGAAAACCACGTATAGCGGTGCGGTAAAAAAAATAAAAAGATTTTAAAATACGCGTACAAATAGACTTTTTGCGTTTTTCTCGAAAAGTAATTTCGGGTCATATCGTTATACGAGGTTTCAAGCGGTCACCCACGAAACCCGTTCAGGTTTGAGATTAAAGTTAAATCTTTGAAAATGTTTATTTCCATAAATGTGGACATTATTTGTCTTCATAGTTTCTAAGTGGTGCCCGTTCTACAATAAATAAAAAACACCATTTAATTAAAAGTAGAGTAGCACTATTTTAAGTAAAATCAAAACCTCCATAAAAAGTTCAAGTGTATCGAGCATCATGAACCCATTTCGGCCTATAGACATGTTTTGTTCGGGGAAACAGACCCCGTGCGAATTTAAAGCCAATATGCATATCTGTATAGGGTCAAATACTGTGAACAGGACTGTACCGAGTAGGTTGAGGTACCATCTAGATTGAAAATACTAAATAAACATACGTCCTGACTGACATACAACACTATTCAAATTGAAAATAAAAATCATAAGCGTATGTTTTGCCTATCACATGGTGGTAGCAAAACAAGGGTAAGCAGAAATGGGATCACCAGGCATGTTAAATTATATTACCAGCTCTCCCGTCAGCTACTTCTTTTAAGACTTGGCAGACATGTCGGACATCTTGAGCCATTGGTTCTGTACTAGTAGAGTCACCATATTGTGCACACAATGAGAGCAAAGCAGCTCTTACTGCTGGTGGTGGTGGACCGTTGCCAAGTTCTAGAAAAGAAATGTACAAATATTGGCAAGTAGAGTCGATCAAAACGAATACCATCATAAAGAGATCATGCCACAAGCAAAAACTGGCAGGTATGAATTTACCTCTTGAAGACTTAGTTCGTCTACGAAAATAAATGCCGAATACATGATAAATAAGTGTTCGTAGAGTACAAATGTTTTTTTTTTTTTATATCAGCACCGTTTATATTTTATTTTTTATGCTAAAACGTACGACATACCTCGTTTACCAAACCACCAGGCATCAGAAGTGACGAGTACCGTCATCAAAACTACCAATGTCAAACTAGTATTCATTTTGATAACCTTAAACATGAACAAAGATGTAAATTGAGAAAAGAAAGCTAAGAAATCCAAATATAAGTAATTTAGAAAACATGAAGCAACGTCCGGAACATGGTGCACAAAGGCAGGTGCGACGTATACTTATGAATTTACTGACTACGTTCAGCTCTGAATTAAATTTCTTATTTCCATCCGTCTCATTTCCCCTACTTTGAAACTGATTATCTAGATATTGGCTGGTATCGTGCACGAGGCAGTGTATGCTCACTGTTTCTGTAACAGAAATAAGGTTGATTGATTGATGCATTTTAAATAGATACACTTCCCCTCCCAGAAAATGATCACTTTTCCGACTGAAAATTCCCCCTCTGTAAATTCATATTTACAAGTAACTTTTCCAGTGGTTAACATTTTCAATCAACCTTAGGACAATTTAAGACGGCTAATATTTTGTATTTGATATTTCAAATTAATTCCAGAATGATTACCAAAATTCAATTCAGAAATCTTTTTAGTAATGCTTAAACTTTACTACCTACAAAAATATACTAAAAGCTCAAGTGATCGAACTAAAATTAGAATATAAAAAACCTTTCGTAAAGATAAGACGCCCAATTTAAATGTATCGTTTAGTATAGTTTTAATATTTACCTGTAGATACTTATACCTGGGCACAATTAGAATCAGATTCTCCCACTTCTTGTCCAGTCAGTCACAGCTATGAACATGTTAGTAAAAATCGCTCCTATTTATTCACTTCATGCACGTGCAATAATAACGCAGGCCTCGTCCATTATGTGAGTAGATGATCAGTGAGTTAGACACTTGCTCGCTAACTTGAAGTTCGATGGCTCGATCCAGGCATAGGCCAAGATAATACCTTCGGATTTGCAATCATGTTTTCCTTGTCAGTTTTAGTAGGTTAATCCTGTTGTCTTGGCAAAATTGCTCATCGCATGGCGGTTCCTGTCTTTATTTGTCAAGACAGCAGTCGTCATGCTGCATTCATTTAATTTTCGTGTTCGTTTAATTCTAAGGCGACTGAGAGAGTCCATTATTGTTGTGCTCAATGAACAAAGTTATAATGATAGCTCTGTTTAAAGATAGCTTGCCAGGTATGGTAACATACGCCCACTATCAGCTGTCAGGTAATAATTGTAGCCTTTATCGTATCTACAAGCCAAATATAACGCGTTTTTACTACGTAAAGGGCAATAACTCTGAAACCATTCATCCTATCATTCGAGATCTCATCAGTATATACATGTATACAATTTTTATCGAGATTAGAATATAACTGTAGACTATATCGTGCCTACAAACCAAATTTTACGCGTTTTTACTAAATCAACTGTAACTTATATTGTACATACAAAATATGTAGACGGACGGACAGATAATGGCGACGGCAATATTAGTCCACATTTCCATGTGGGCGCATTAAAACGACTTACAATTCTGGACATTAATAATTAATTTGGATCTTACGGTTGATTTGAAACCCCATTGATACGTTTTTTGTGTAATTGTTCGCGAATATTGATCATTGAGTTGCTATTAAAATACAAATTGGGAACTGTTCTTGGGCAGTGCGCATCCAATTGATACATCGGTGAAGCGTTGCATTTTAAAGTCACAATGGGATGTTGTACCGAAAAGTAAAAACATGTAAACATTCAATAATAAAAAATCTATAAAACGTTCGATAGTGAAAGACGCATGAATTTGATACCATTCGGTATTAAAAGGTGTTAACATTCGGTAGTAAGTACAAATCTCACAACAAATTTATTTAAAGTTTTGAAAATTGCTGTTTTGGGCCGTCTGTAAAAGCGGAAGTATATGTCGGACATCAAAGATCAAAGTATGAATAGACATCCTAGATCATTGTCTTTGACCTTGCAATGGTCAAGGTCATGCATGTTAACCCTTGTGCTAGCACGTCGTTTGAATAACATTGGATAGAACCTGGGGCATTTGGGGACCCCTATTATTTAATGGGAATTTACAACAAAAGAACATGAAATATATTCCCAGGTGTGGCAAATAATACTTTATAAAGACTCCTTGTTAACCAAATCAATTATTCAAGATGCGAAAGTCATGCTGACTTGAAGCCAAACCTACAATCTAGAATATTACATAAATGTTGGGTTGTGATCTAGGGATGAGCAGAGAGCATCTGCTTTGTTTCAAATATTGATCAATTAACTTAACTTGATATGGTTATAACATTTATTGATAATTTGAAAATTATGCATAAAAAACTCAAATTTGACCTCCTGGAGTACTTCAGGACCCCAGAGATGCAATAGATGTTATAGTCAATTTTTAACCAAAATGGCCCCTACATGGTACCAAATAACTTTTGATTTCATTGAACAACTTTAACAATAAATAATATATGAATGTTTTGAAAGTATGTTGTTTGTATTTAGGTGCCGAAATAGGTGTAGAAGGATTGGACCAGGGACCATAAGATAGAGTGTTTTGGTCGTATCACGACATATCCTGTTGGTAAAAAATATCAAGAGTTGTTCACATATTATTAGTGCAGCAAGGCAAAAGTCAACAATTTCAGTTGACTTGTATTTATATTGAACAGGTCTCACCCTGGTAAAATATCATGTACTCTTCATATTGAATATATCCATAAATTTATTTAATAATTTGAATTAATTGGTGTGTATAACAGATTAATCTTAATCTGTGAATTGATGTATTGTGTCAATGTTTATTATTTTTTGATAGTTTCTGTATGGTACAACACAATTCTTACAGGTGTATTGAAACTCAGCCCCACTTTCAACCAATTCCATATATTTCTTGGCTGCCATGGAAACATTTGACTTGGTTTAAACAGTATTTATTTCAAAACAAATTGCACATCATCACTTCAATAAGCTACAAACTATTATTATTTGTCTTTGATAATCACTCAGATAAGCTACTAATTATAATTAATTATCAAAGTTATTGATAAATATTTTTAAACTAGGGACATTTTGATTTGGGGGGGAGGGGGGTGGGAGGGGGGGGGAGGTGTCATGTTGACCAATGATTTTGGTTGAAATCAGAGAGTAATTTTAGGGGCCATGTTGAATATTGTATTTTGGTTCATTTTGACTAATGTTGACTTTTGGGGCCATTCTGACACGGGGACATTTCGGGTTAGTGCCAAATTGACTTTAACCTAAGACAACTAGCTTTAGTGGTAGATTACAATTTAATTCTATTCACAGAAATCCAGTTTTAGCACTGCATTTATCTGGGGTCTAAATGTACCCCAACATACTAGCATGGTGTGTTTCAATTTAAAAGGGTAACATATCCGCTAATTGTGATTGTTGCACAGTAGACTGATCATGAACAAGTTAAAAATTCATTCAGCTACAATGTTTGAAATAACCAAACTGCTATCTTCGATGGCATTTTGGAAATTCGAAAAAAAACGATGCTGGGGTTAAGATATACCCCAAGTTCTAGCACAAGGGTTAAAAGTCAAAATATTAAAATTTTATAAATCTTAAAATCCTTTTTTGAAATAAATGGTCCAGAGAAGCGTATCTTTACCGGGATCTAGCCAAATCAGTATGCCAATTCGATGCAAAGTTTAAAGGTTGATAAACGCATACTTTGAGAGTTTTCAACCATCTACATTCATAACATTATGAGATATTCGTTGTTTGATCTAAGAGACTTGAGTTGATACGACAAAAACCAATTTGTCATATGTTAATTAGGTCACGTGACAGCTATTCAATGTTAAATATCGCGATTTTCAAATGGCTGTAGAACCGACAGTTAACGTCGCATGAAGACATCTTTGGATATATCTTATTATAAGGCAATAACTTTTGTTCCGGTCACAAGGTCACCAAAAGTGAAGGTCGACCGGAAATAACTAAAAAGCAAAATCGAAATTAAAAAAACTGTTCCCACACGATTGCTAGCAATCAATTGCTCATGGCATAGACATTAAAATGATGTAAGTCCGATTAACCTCTGATCCTAAAAAAATAGTTTAAAGAAAATTTGGTCATTTGAGATGATGCGACTCTTCCTCGACGAATTTTATCATTCCAAATCTTTTATTTAAACAATTCTAACACATTGCAAAAATAATTTTTCAAATATCTATAAAATTCCGGAAGTTGAAATTTCAACTTTACAAGCGAACAATATTTTTGAAAACACAATTTTGTCTATCTACTTCTAAATTTGCAGGTCGATTGAAATAAAAAAAAGAAGTCAAAATCTTTAAAATGCTATATCTTAGTCATTTGTTTAAAGTAATGAAAAAACAAAAATTACGGTCAAAATAGATTCAGAATCAGAGCAGTAATTCGAAATACGCAATGAATGGTTAACGTCCTACGTCATTTCCGGTTGGGCGAAAATGCGTCATTTTACATTCACATAAAATGACACACTAGGTGTGACATGGTCATGTGGGTATGTGCGGTTTTTGCTGGGTAGCGTGACCAGAATCAAATTTTAACTTTTGATTGAGTTTCATTTTTCATCCAACAATGCAATTATTAAATATTTATGGTTAAGCTACTGCTAAAATACACCAATAAATACGTATTGTTCTGTTACCTTTGATTAGATTATGCTTGATAGATATTACTGTATGTGAAATGAATCATAAAATTAAGGAAGTAGTATAACCATAATAGTATTTTTATTTTAATAAATATATTTTCTGCTTCAAAGAAAGAGCAAATTTATGAGTGTATTTTCTTTTAGTGAAAAGTACTTACTATGTGAGTTCGTGTTTTTAACTTGTAAACATTAGAAAACATCCACTGCTTCGATCTGCACTCTTCAAATGTAATCTAACACTTGTGGATATTTCAATGTCGAACATTGATATACAGATATACTTCTATTGGGGAGGATATGGTAAACGTGTATGGTTGTATATTTACGTTTTACGTTTTTCTAGTCATCTCCACCTTCGGTGGGGAACCGCGGTGGCTCAGTGCGTTAGACGTTTCCTCGCTAACCTGAAGGTCCAGTGTTCAATCCCGACATAGGTCGAGATTAACCTTCGGATTTTTCAACCCAATTTCCCCGTCAGTGATGCAGGTAGGCTGTGCACGTTAAAGATCCCTCGACAGTTGAAAATCGAAAAAGAGCAGGCTAATGCTACTGTCGTGGCAAAATTTCCCTTATTGCACATTGCATGGCGTTTCCCGTCATTAGCCCACATGGTGCAGAAAAGTAAGACGTAAAACTCCATTCATTTCATTTCCAACCTTCGATTTGCACATTTTTAAGATTGATTTCATAATTCGAACAGTACAGTGCCATAGTCAGTGATAAAACATGTTAAGGTACAACACTCCGCTGATAGATAAAAGTTTTTCTGTTGAATTTGAAGACGATGTTCTCCTCTGATTGTTTAATCTTACAGGCAAAACGGTGTTTGCATGGATCATTAAACAGATCATATATTTGATTCTGCGTACTGATGTTATTGGTTTATGTGAGGTATATATTGAGCTGTAGTGAAGACATCATAATGAAATGGTGGAGATTGTGCCTGTATAATTTTCTAATTCATATCTATAGTAAGTAGCTTATCTCAACAATTATTATGTTGATGTTTATAGGTAATCTGTTGTACGTTTGTCTTTTCATTTTGTTGTATTTCTTGAACATAGCTTTCTTGTTTCTATTGACACTATCATCTGAATACGTTTTCAATGTTTTATGGAAAATGCGAAAACCTCTTACATTCTAACGATGAATGAATCAAACATGGGAAGTATGAAATAGTCTGATCATCAATAATGGGGCACTTCCCTTCAAAATAATATACAGACAAAGCAACAGAAAAATTAGATAAACCTAATTTAATGATCTAAAAAAAATAATGATCTAGGCTAGTTCTTATTGGAGTAGTTTACTGCATATGTTTAATGATGTTATTCCCATATCACTCCTTACCATTCTTTCCCATTTCCCATTACAATCCCTTTGAACTCGCTCTGTTCTTTTCCACCACGTTCCCATCCTGAAAGCTTTTTGGAAAAGCTTGAGGTAAGCTTGGAATGCATATAAGTAGACTATTGGGAATATAATTTCCATTTCCAAAAGTAGCTGTCCTGGTAAAGATATTTTGTCCAGAACTGGAACATGTCTCTGGTGTGAACTTTAATCAGTCCGATAGAGCTGTTATGGCTCAGTGAGTTAGCTCGCTTACCTGAAGGTCCATGGTACAATCTAGTCCCAAACATCTGCCTCTATTCCAGCCTCTGACAAACATATATATCTGACAGTATTTATTCCATACTATTAAAATTGTCTTGTGTTTGTGATACACTGTAACGATGACTGTAAATTAGTTTTTGACATCGCCGTAACTTTCGTTATTTTTGTTTCACGTGACTCTGTAACCCTCTACAGCTCTGACAGCTCACGCAGTCTAAAAACATCGCCCTGGGAAAACCGTTAAAAGAAACTATAACAGAACCACAGATTATGATGGCAATTCTAAACTGCAAAAACATCCATCTTTCCGAATATATCTGGGTTTGATGGATCCGATTTTACTAAATAAGTTTAAAACCCTAAGAAAATTTTCCAAAATAGAAGGCTAAATCTTTCTGTCTCTACACCATCTGACCTGACCCGTGAAAAGGTTGGAAATGGAAACAAGAGTAAGCTAATCCCGTTGTCTTGGCAAAACCAACCCAGCAAAGTAGCACATACAATGGATTTATTGCATCCAGAGCAGTAGATGGCATCGATGGACTTTCGATTTCAAAGGGAAGTTGTTCCCATTCAGCTGGATATTCCGGTCCACCCGAATCATCACCATGGTGGGAACTTGATTTACAACGAAACTTCGTGACAAAGTTCGTGACTTAAGCATAACATTAACTTTCGCATGAAAACATCTTTTTTATTTATATGTGACAAATTTATGTGGTTGATTTTGCTTAAGGTTCTGAAGGCTCCTAGATGATCTAGGGCTTTTATTGATATATGAAATACGTGGTATTCCGTAATTTACAGGATATCCACGATTGCTCCATGATTTTTCAATCGAGGTCTATGAAGATGGAAAGACGATTGATGATGCTGAACTTTGTTACAGTCATGTGGGCCAAGCAACCAAAGGTTCAACTGAAATGTATATATGTAACACTGTTGTTAAAGGTCGTCACGTGAGGATTACAATAAATGGTCCAGCTGGCTCCTATCAATTACTTATTCTATGCGAGGTGAGTTCAAATGTATATTAAAGGTGAAAGAAATATCTTTTATTTTCTTAGTGGCAAGATTAAATGGCGAATCGAAACGATCGTCCACAAAATGTACGTCATGATCTCGTTTTACAATAATCGTGTTTAATTGAGAAATGTAAATCACAGCTTTTTTTTTGCCAGAATGTGCTGTGTTTCCACTGAGTTTAATCTGCCTTAGTTTTTTTTGCGCATGGGCAGCTGAAAGTAATCAAAGCAAATTCCCAACAGGAAGACCCTCTACATCCGTCCACCTGCTAACTATGGAGGCTGCCATTGTAAAATACACCCCGAACACTGTCTTTTGCGTTTCCTTTGAGTAATGTAATACTTAAAGCTGGCTTTCATTTCTGATCGCAAAAAGAGAGGTTTTCGGTTCCCGAACCATGATGGTTCGAATATTTTCACAGTAGAAAAACACGAGAGCTGGTTCAAGTTGGTTTAAAAGGACATTTGTTGTAGGTTGAACTTTTTGTGAAAACAATACACCGAAATCAAGAGAAATTTGCCCTTTAACGTGTCTGAAAGTTATAACATAACAGATTACATAATAAAATAAACGCCTAATTGTAGAGACATATTTCTCCTAGGTATTCCAACTAAGTAATAATATACAGCCCAAAACTAGGTCAAAGTGCTTGATTAATTTAATTAGTACTCTCCGTTTTTAATTCACCCTTTTAAAACAAATTCAGTTTGATCAAGAAGGTAAATCGATATAAATAGCATATTTTAGATTTCGGGGAAGGGAGTTTGATTCTACCAAATGTACAGGCCTAGGGTGGAACAGATACTTTATTTAGAAATTAGGTGTCCTGATACTGGGTTTTCTTCTACTCTGATCTTAAAATAATTATTTTCAGGTTTAATTTAGTTGTTTTTCTTAAATAATGTTTTTTTTTTTTGATAATAAAAACTTTTTTTTTCAAAAAGGAGGAAAACCCCTTTAAAGTCGACTATTTCCTTCAGTGCAAACACTCAATAAAATTAAGATTATGGTTGTTTCTCTTCAGGTTCGAGTATTTGGCACTGGAAATGTCATCAAGTCGTCATTTCAACAATATCAGGATGCTGAACTATCCGATTTACCGGATATGACGTACAGTGTTCAAGGATATGGTCAATGTGCTATGAAGTGTTATGTGTTACCAATGTGTCATCTCTTCAGTGTAAAACTCGGTGTCTGATTATTATATATGTAAAATTTTCACCAAG